CCCCACCCCCCGCTTTCCTGTTAACCGCAATGGGAAACATGTGCTTACTCTGTGTAGGGTACAGGCCCACCATGGGAGAGGCTGTTTACCTTGACTCCAAAACTAACAAGCGGCAGCTCCTGTGGGCACCCGCGCTCGCTGCCTCTCGGCGGCCTGAAAGGAGAAAAAAAAAAGAAAAAAGAATGACAGACAATTCGTGGGCTTCATTTTGTTGCCGACAAGATAATAACCCTCCGCTGTTGTTGCTCAATATAACTGTCACTTCGCTTGTCAGCCTGTAAAATTTGCCGCTCGGTTTTCTTTTCTTTTCCCCCCACCGAAGGCCGTCGTAATTTCTACTTGCCGTCATGTTACGATCCCCTCAAATTTCCTTTCCACGATCGCACATATCTGCTTCCATTCAGAAGTGCGTCCGAAAGCGCCCTCGTGCCCCGGAGGCGCACGTCGGCCGCCGAGGTCCCTCGTCCTTCGATGTCGTTCGGGGGACGTGTAGCCGCGCGGACGAACGCCTCGCCCCAGGGCAGGAAATGCACTCCAGATGACCAGAGCGCACGCTGGTTTCTTTGACCCCCCCCCCCCCCCCGCCTTGCGTACGTGTGCGGACGTTAACCCTTGATCTGACTGGAAACCAAAGTCGGGGACCCAAGCGGGGGATTGAGAACGTCGTCTTGTACGCGCGCGGGGCGTCGTGCCCGCGGATCCCAACAAAAGTCCCAAATGTTTTCGGCGTGCGCGAAAGCCGGTGCGTTTTTGATGGGGTGCGAGGTCCGCGACGATGCGTGGAGGGTTTCCGCTTTGGTTTTCGAGCGAGGGTGAGGCCTTCAACTTGGCTTTGGCCTTTTCAGCCCTTCGCAGTTGACCTTTGGAGCCAGCGTGAGGTTGTCACGGATGAAAGTTTGGCCGAGGAGTTCAAGTTTGCTTTTGTGGTTCGAGTTAGGGCTTCAAGCCGGCGTGATGCTTTCCTCGGAGAATTTCAATCCAGGGTCTGGTTTCAAAACACGGTTGGGCTTCCAAAGTAGAGTTTCAAGGCGGGGTGAGATTCTCCAAGTTTGGAAGTCTCGACTTGTTCCTTAGCTGACATTATGCACCTTGGGTTGGCGCTATTTCTGAGCGTGGACTACGACTCTCAAAAGCGAGACAAAATCTGCGTTTCCCCCTCCGCTCGGTAACCCGAATGGAAGGTGAATCATTTGCGCATCGTCTATCTTTTGCATTCCTGCCAAAGACACACGGAGCAAGTCGCTGCAAGCGCCTCATTCCATTGCGCCGCTCATCGAATGAATAGCAGCCGGCCAAGCGCGGCTTGAAAGCGGGCCTTCCGGTTGGCTTTGACAAAGGCAAGGAATGGATGGCCTCTCCTCACACAGAAGGCGTCATGGGCTTTGCGGAAGGAACGGGCTCCTTTTCGAAAGCGAGCCCCGGCGCGCCGTCGCGTCGCCGCCTGCCTTTGTGTGCGCGTGCGCTGGTGTCCGCATTTATTTGTCTTTGCTAAACGCGCTTCCTCCGTCGGGGTTTGTTTGGAAACTGTAGAAAGGTGATGAAGTGAGCCGCTTTTCGCTCGTGGCTTTTCAAAGGTTCCTTGAAAGTCGGCGAATTAAGAGGCGATTCGGCGCCCGGAGGCGGGGGGAGGGGAGCAAAAGTTGGGACGGCTTTGTTTTTCGAACGCTCGCTTCCACATTTTCCGTCGCGGCAGCTTTATTGTGAACTAATGGACCGTCAGAAATCATCTCAAAGTCTTGAAGTGGTCGCGAGAGCCTCGGTGGACTTGACAGCACCGCTGGCAGATGCAGCGCAGAAGCTTCGCTTCGCTTCTCATTTTGCCGACGCGCTTCGTCGACGGCGCGGCTCATCGCTCGCCCGTTCGCAGCCGCGCGCGGTCCAGCGTGTGATTTCCATCGAAGGAGATCGGGCGCATTCTGCATTCAAGCCCACACCAGGCGGCAACGTTTGTCTGTCTTTGGGCTCGCTCCCCAGCGCGTCCGGACTCACGTTGGGACGGTTCGGGGGCCGCAAGCAAGTGTTTTTTAGGCTTTCAAAGCCAGGAGATGATTTTACGTTAGGGCTCCAACCGAGCGTCCAAAGCGCGGTTGCGGGCCAGAGTTCGGCTTGCGCGCCAGGTCTGAGGTTCGGCGCACATGGCTTCCAATCAGAGTTTTGCTGGCGGCCTGGATTGGGGTTTCAAAGTCTGGATCCTGGGAAGCGTTATGCTTTCAATCCAGAGGATCTTTTCCAAGCAGAGTTGGAGGACTCGAAGCCCGGGTTCGGTTTCAAACAAAGGTGACGGTTTTTCCGACAGGAAGTTCTCCGATTCAGTCTGTGCATCGCCGGGGAAACGGCGCCCGGGTTCCCACGGAAACGGGCCCGAGACAGTGTGACTCAAAAGCATTGTGTGGACGCTTGACCGAGCTGACGCCGCTCCAAGATTCCGAGCTCGGTTCCGAAACATGTCACCGTGTCGCGAGTTCTCCAACGGCGACTGGAACCCGGCGAGCCACCGGGACCAGTACAATCGTTTGACTACTCAACGATACGGAGTCCCAAACGCCTTTCGTACTTTTATCGCTTTTCATTTCATACGAGGACAAAAAAGGGAGAACAAAGACCATCAGATGCTGAGTCGCCAATGCGTCAAATTGCCGCAGTATAGTGAGTGCCACCTACTGCTGAGGAGAACTTCCCCGTTGTTGTTGTGATTTTGGTGTATTTATTGATGTCTTTATTTTTGCCTTGAGCGCGGGCGGCCTCCACGAGAACCCAATGCCAATGAAAGGGCGCTTTCAAGACAGCGCTAGGCGCTTTCAAGCTTGCGTTTGGGTTTTACACCGGAGCGGCTCTCTCTCGCACTCAACGTGTCGTGAGGGCCGCCGTTGAAAGCGTCCCCTTGTGTCCGGGCCGCATCGAGTCATCCGCAAAGAAGGTTTGAGGCGCCCGAGAACAAAGTGCAACTCATCCAATCTTCTCAATGTTGACGAAGAGCAGTTGAGAAGACCAACAGTTGAGGAAAGCGGCCAACACGACCGGTCAGCCAGTCCACTCTCGACTTTGCGTGTGTCGTTGCGGCCTGCCAGCCGTGGCTTTCTCCGGGCTTTGCGTTCCGAGCCGGGGCGAGCGATTCAAACCGGGGTTTGGCTTTCGAGACGAGACCGGTCCGGTTTGAAGTGCGCCGTAGGTTTTCAAAATAGGCGGACAAATGTGCGTTTCCAACAAGAGCCCGACTCGCATCTCAAACGTGGGTTTTTTTTTTTACCCGGGGTGAGCGAGTTGGCCGAGAAGCGCGAAAGTTGACGTGTCGGCGCAGGCGACCCGATATTCATCTGTGCTTTCTCCCGTTTCTCCCAGACGGCTGAGCCGGCCCCAGGCGGAGACGTGATCTCAAGGACTTCCCAGGTAATTTCGGAACGTCATCTTCAGCCGGCATTCTCCTTGTATAAACTGAGCTTTGTGAACTCCAAACAAGCGCGAGTAGCCCGCGCGACGCAGCGGCCGATCCAATCGATAGCGCGCGGTCTCGCCTCAGCGCGATGCTATGAAAGTTCAAGTCACGACAGCGCCGCCAGGAATGCGGCGGCGCGGCCGTATCGCCTTCAAACGAGCTCCGGGGAGATGCGCCGCGATTGCCCACCGCAGCGCCGGTGACCTTCAAAGCGCCGCGATGACGGCACGTCACGGAGGGCACCCTGCGTACGTGCGCCGCTCGGAGCCCGCGGGGACGCGCGTGCCCGGCCGGGGCTGTCGGTAAATAACGGCCCAACTTGTGCGCGCGGCATGAGGTGCCCGCAAACAAGCAAGCGCGGCAGATGGGTCCATGAGGGAGGCGGGGCGATAGGGGGCCGGCATGCCGAGACCGCGAGGCAGGTTGGGACGTGGCGCCGCTGGCTGCGCTCCCAAGGATGAGGCCGAGGGGAAACCCAGGGACAAACCAAGGCACAGGCGGAGGCCAAAAGGTCGCAGGTTGAAAAGCGGGCAGCGGCTTCCTTCCGATCAGGCTTTCGAGCTCCCGCTTTGGCCGGCTCTTTTTTGGCTTGTTTTTTTGGAGTTGACTTCCTTTTCGAAATGTCATGCCGCACGGCGTTTGTCTGATCGTAACCGCGAGTACATCGGAAATGACTGGTAGCAAAGACTGCCTGACGGGCATTCCCGTTGCTTGTCCTCAACCGTGGTCTGCCTCGGACAACGAGCAAAATGTGCTCATTTTTTGGACTTTTTTTTTGTGGGCTTGGGGGGAGGCCTTGGTCAACCACGATTTTCTGTATTTTGTTTCTAGGATCAAGAGTAAATCCCACTTTGGACGCTGCCAGGCACTCGCGCGGCCATCAGGCAGATGTTTTCTCCTGGCGAGGGGTCCGACGGCGCGCGCTCCTCCATCGCTGACGGCGTCGCCCTCAAGATTCAGCTTCAGCTTCTCGGACCGGGAGAAACAGCAGGACGGGCGGGAGGATTCCGTTTCTCAGACATGCTGAAACCGATCCGTCAAGCGCAAAAAAAGAGAAGCCAGGACGGCGAACGCGCCACAAGTTTGCCGCCGCCGCCGGCCGCGACGGACGGCCTGATTGTTTGATTCATTCTACGCTGAGCCCGGATTAATGTTTTCCCGTCCGGCCATCTGCTTTTCATACTCCCCCTCCCGCCCAAACGCCATCGATGTCGCATCCGCCGCCTTCCCGGGCGTACGTCAACAAGCGCTGGAACCGCCAAAGGAAAATAATCAGCCGTTATTTTCCTTCTCGTACGGAGACCCGGGCCAGTATTTAGACCTCGGCGACTGGTCAAGGCCGAGTGATGGAGAGCTCTGCAAACAAAAAAAAAAAAAGACCCCATGCTTTGATTCGCTTCTCTTCTTCATTGCCAATCCGTTTGAGTAAGTGAAACTACAACGAAATGGATGTGTCATCTGACAACGAATTCACATGCTGCTAAGACAACGTTCCATAACCACCTCATCCCGGGAGAATATTGACAGGAAAAAAAGGACACGAGCTGATTTGAATTTGTTATTTGAACGTGAACAGTTGAATCATTTGGTGGCGACTTACAACGCGAAACGTCAAAGATGAAAACAGAATTGTGGGAGCATCAAGTCTTCTTTTTTTTCTTGCATGAAATTCGGTGACCGATCTCAAATTCTAATCCGGTGGTGCACACGACTGCCCCCAAAATCTTCTCGCTGATGTTATTTCTTGCCCAAGCGCTTTTTTTCCCAAAATACCAGCCGGGTGAAATCGAGGCATATCGACGGCATTCGTTTCTCTTGCCGTCGGACTCGATGGCGATACCGTTGGGGGCGCGTCCCGTCCTAATCGGGTGTCCGGTCGCGATTGCAAATCAGCGCTTGATCATCATTCGGACCGAATCTTCTTGGATTGTCACGGGAAGGAACGGGCTCAAAAGGAGTGACGTGTGTACCGCACTCGGAGTGAATCGGAACAGAAGCGGAGCGGGAGATTTGAAAACACGCTATTTGTTCCCGACATATTGTTTGCTTTTGCTGGTCTTGTGACAAGTCATCCGAAATGTCACGCAGCCGACATTTGCCGGGGACAAGATCGGCGGCACGTGGGGAAAAGGAGGAAAAAAAAAAGAGGTGGGGGTCGCTTGAAGGCTGCATGTTTTGAAAGTCGAGCCTCATGACATCTTTATGCCCCCCCCCACGACAATGCGCTTCCACCCACTAGCCCCGCCACGCACGCCCAAACACGCACGCGCGCGCTACGGGGAAAAGATGACCTCTCGGTTCACTGCACTTGTATAGTCGTGAATGGAAGGGCTCAACAAAAGGTGACATCATTTTCTCAGCCTTTGATTGGCCCCCTCCGTGCCAGGGGATGACATCATGCCACCCGCCCTCCCCAAACTCCTCCAAAGACACCCGACCGGTCAGAGCGCCCCTGTTGGATGCTGCGTTGCCGAGGCAACGGTCCCAGGAAACGGGGCAGCGCTTGGCAGTAGATTGGAGCCGCCTATCCCATAATGAGCTCGGCCGGCCTCGCCTTTTGTTCGCCGAGTAAACAATCGGGGGACATGATAGAGTGAGAGCAAATGAAGGGGTGGGCACCCTTGTTGCCGCAACTTGCCACTCAACAAAAACAACAGAAAAAAAAACGACTCTCAACTCCCCGTTTGCAAGTCACAGCAAGGGAGTCTCTCTCGCCTTCGCCTCGGTGGCACGGCGGCAAAAGCGCGAACGACGCAAATGTACACAAAGCGAGCTGGGCTCGGAGAATGTGAACATGTACTGCCGTTCGTGCGTGGAAATAAAAGCTTTTGACGCCCTTTCAGCTTGATGTCAAGATTGTGTTTTGGAATGAATTTGTCAGATGGGGCTCGGATAACGGAATGGAAGAGGAGCTTTTCCTCCGATCGCAATAAGGGCTGTCGCGAAAGGCACGATCTTGCCACGAAACGTCAACGTGGCCGGATGAGCGCATTACGCGCTCATCATTTTCCGCGGCGACGGCGTTCGAGTGTCAGCCGTCACCCCCTTTTCCCCGTGAAAACTTCACCGAAAGCAACGAATGGCCTTCTCACGTCGCGGCGGGACAAATCCACTTTTTCAACACGCGCTTCCCTGAGCTTGAGCCGGCGGAAGCCGCGTGTCGGCTCATCACGATTGTCCAACCGTCACGTCGTCTGCAAAAAAAAAAGCACGTTATGCTCCGCAAGACAAGGCAGCCTCATCAAAACGATGGAAGCGATCCGTAACGGCTCTCGCGAGGACTCTCGGGATGAAAAAGCGTCGCCGTTGGAAGTGGACGCCCGCCATGACGTGCGCTAATAACGCCTCCAAAGTCAAGTCGGGCACCGCTGCGTTCACACAAACGTCAACTTCTACTTGGAAATGCCGTTAATGGGATAATTGCGAGTGCGCCGGGAGCCAAACCTCACTGGTTCCAAACGATCCGCCCCGAAGCCGCCTCCGAGCAACTTCCCAAAAAGCCGAGCCGCATCTGAGGGGAAAATGACACAGTTAACCGCGCTCGCTCCTGGAGGAGCTCCAGCTGTCATGTTGAGCTTCGACGTATATTACCCGGCCGAGCGCGACGTGCGCGCCCGTCCCCCCGGGCCCACGCAAACTTCTTTTCCCACACGTCTTTTCCCCTTGATCCGAGCGCCCGAATCCAAGCGCCACTTTTCTGCGGCTTACGGCGAGAGACGGGGCCGCGTGAGCCGCTCCTTTGGGCCCAGCGGGAGAACGCTTTTTGGCGTGACGGCGGGAGAACGCTTTTTGGCGTGACGGCGGGAGAACGCTTTTTGGCGTGACGGGTATCGGTTCCCTCCGGCGGGCCCAAAGGCGTCGCTGGCCACGACGCCCGTCCGCTCGCCTCTGGCGGGAATCAACGAGCCGTCCGATTTCCCGCCGGATTTTTCACGGTCGGCAGAGGTGATGGAATTTCACTCCGATGCGTGATGGACTTTTTGTTTAGCGAACGGACTTCCTGCGTTCCGAACGGTGATGACTCGGGCTTCTGACTAGCATGAAAAGCTAGCGTAGAAGTCAACATACAGTATTTATTCGTTTTCCGGGGGTTGGGGGGGGCAACCCCAGGTTTGTTGTTGTTGTTGTTGTTGTTGCCGTGGAAACGACAAGTGATGGCGTATCCCCATATTTTCAAGGATTAAAAAAAAAAGTGTAAAATAAATAAATAAATGACTGTTGACGCCCCCCCCCCCCAACCCCCATATGGATATATGGACGATCGGGGCCGGGTGGCCCACCCCTTTGCACGCCACTGCTTGTCGTATATGGCTTGCATAGCCAAAGCATCCTTCCATCTGGGCAAGCGCCGTCTCTCACTCTCTCCATCCTGCCCTTAATCCCCATTGAGTAGAGGGGGGGGGGGGAGAGACCAGAGCAGGCCAAAGGCAGCGCTGACATCCATGGGAAATGTGCGGATCCATTCAGCGGTAATTATGGGCATCAATGCAGAGAGGCAGTGTCAAGGGGTGGGGATGGGGCGAGGCGGTGTGGGAGAGTTTGGCGAGGCCAGGACGACGGGGAGGGGGAGCGGGGGGAGGTCACGCTCCAAACATAGACATCATGACAAAACGGAAAGCCGGGGACTACTTTCATTGAAGTGGATATGAGTTTGACCTTGAGAAACACATTTGGAATTTCAATTCCTCGTTCTCTCGCGGATGTCATCCAAGACGAGACTGAGGGAAGCAAATGCGCACACGGTTGCAGCAAAGTGGAGACCGGGGAGGATGACGCTCGACCGAATGACAGTTGAGGAAAATCAGAGACTCCTTTCATTACTTCTTGGTGGGAAGGAGACACATTTTACTCTAGAGGAGACTAAGGGCCATGATTTTTCCCAAACGTATAATGCTGTTGGGTACCTTACTTCTCCACAGTAAGGACACACATTTTCTTCTGAAAGGAAGGAGCCGGTGCTGCAATGCGGCGACGGCGGGAATGTGCTCCTTCACCATGAGGAGACATAGTTGACTTGAGAGGCGACTAAGTGGAGATGAAGGACTCAGCTGCATTTCTTTCTCCGCAGTAACAGAGGCATATTTGCTTTGTGAGGACACCGATGACCAGTGTCAGCGTATCGGTCCGATACCGCTAGCCGGTACGGATACTCGCCCATCCTTATTTGTTAGCGTGGCCTGTTAGCAGTTGGCCCGGAAGCCCATCAAAGCCCCACGGAAAGTCTTTTTTTCCCCTCGTCCCTTGCCGTCGTTGCAAACCTCGTGCGTTTTCTTTTGCGCGCCTCTTCGGCAGCTGCTGGCTTTCTCCCGGCGCGTGTCTTGAAACGTGCGATCAAAGGCGCAGCAGGTGGCTCAAAGCCCGCCCCCTCCGCCGTACATCATCGTCCCCGACGAATTCGGAATTCCGGCTGAGAAAGCCACCTCAAAGGTCGCCGCCGTATCTCGGCTTTGAATGGCTGCCGACAGAGCAAATTTGGCCAAACCGTCGGGAAGAATTCTGAATGATCGCTTTTATTTTCAGCGCTTGAAAAATCAAAAGCTATCCCGACCCCATGCGGCTTTTTAGCGACTGGCAACGAGGAAGCGTTACATTCATACATTGAAAGGTAGATTGCCCCCGTCACTTAACTGTCTTCTTTTTTTTCTTTGTTGGGGGCTGTGTGTGTGCGTGTGTGTGTTTGAGGTGAAAGTGAGGTCAGGCTCGCAGGCGCTTCTTCTTCCGACGTTTGCGGCGTTTACCTTCCGAGACGTCTCATTACGCCGCTGATGAATTTCGGCAGAGGGTGTCAAGCTGTCGGCCGCACAAAACGTGCTCAAAAGAGCAGCCAAAGAGGGGGGAGAGGGGAAAAAAAAAAGGTGGCGAGAGAATGGCCGCACATCACCCTCTCGGTCAACAAGCGTTTGCTCATTTGACTTTGGCCAAAGAAGCACGGGCAGAAACGCACGGGCGTTGTTGTTTCCTTTCTTTGGAAGTGACGGAAATCAACGTGGTGGGCTTCTTTTCTTTTTGCCGATGGAACGGTCCAGGAAAGCGGAGCCCCCTTGACCCGGCCCCTCTTTTTGACACGCCGCGCTTGAATTTCGTCGGCCGACGCTTAGAGCTCGCGGCGGGGTGCGGGACAAGGAGAGGCCTCGGCGCTCATCGAACACCGCGACGGGGCAAACGCGACGGCGCCGGCGCGCTATGTCGGACGCCCGTTCCAAGTCCGCGACCGGGCGTGAAACGGTCGTTCGTCCGTCCCGGCCGACGTCCCTCCGAGAGGCGGCTTCCGTCGCCTTCGTCGTCAACGACGAGCCGGACCGGGACGGCGGACGCGCAGGCAAGTAAGCGCGAGAGTCCGTCAGGGTCAAAGTCGGCCTGCAGGACGTTCTCAAATGGGCCGCTGGTCACGTCGAGCGTTCTGACTTTGTTTGAGTCCGCAAAGGGCATCAGAAATGATCGCGAGAAACCAAGTGGCGAGGGTGCCCTTTTTTTCTTGTTGTTTTGTTTTGATGAGAGAGGAGCTGAGCAAACGTATTGGCAGTGATGGGGCAAGGGCGAGCGTGTGCTTTTCAGTGCCGCTTATTGTTCCCCCCCCTGAGAAAACGCTCAAGATTGCGCGCTTCTCTTTCGTGCGATGGCACATGCGACGACGCGATCCTCCTGAGAGGGCCGATGGGGAACGTCTCCCATGGAGCGCTTGGCCCCGGGTGACCGTAACTCGACACCCATCTCACGTCGGGACAATGCCAAGGCTTTCTGCGCCAGTTAGCGGCCGCTGCCGATTTTCACGGCGTTGGTCGCCGTGAGAAAGACGAGCCTCGCGCTCACCCGTCTTCCCCAGCCGCTGGAAAAACGGTCGGCGACCTCTGGGAGAAAAGAGCTGGCTTTTCCCTCCGCCGCGCCGCCTCCCGCTATTCTTGCCGCATTTGGCTTGGCTTGGAGGACCCGCTGAGACGGTTGCGCCTCTCGTGGCAGCGGTCACGTTCGAATCAAGTGGGGGGGATTTAGCCACGGCCGCCCGCCCTCCGTCAGGAATGGAACGGGCGCGCTCGCGCGGGCCGGCGGTCAGGTGGACGGCTCGGGCCGGGCGACCGCCACAGGCTAGCGCCGCTCCCCCCCGCTTCCTCCGCCCGCCCGCCAACCGCCCGCCAGCCTTCGCTCCTGATCGGCCCGACGTGCTCAGGACTTCGGTTGTGGGGGAGGGGGGGGGATGCCGGGGATTATCTCCGACGCACTTCCACTTCCACTCCGAGCACCCGCTGGCTGCCCGCGCGGCTCTTAAAAGGCTTTCTGATGCAGCCTGCGCCTGCGAGGAAGGCAGACCTTGGTCTCGGACTTCCGAATGCTTCCCGCTGTCCGACAATCTCTATCGATTGAACGGGTCGACGCGGCTCCGGGAGTACCGGTCCTTGCCAGACCGGAGCGCCGCAGCCGCGGTCGTCGGCGCCCTCGAGCAAGACGCCGGCGACCCAGTTGTTCCTTCCCGAAGAGTCCGACTCGATTGTCAAATGTGCGGTACGTGCAACGTCCGATGCGAGTGGGAAGGGCGGCCGCCTTCCGCGGGCTCCTTTTGTGTCTCGCAAATACCCGGCGAGCTGCCTCCCGTTCATGATGTCACGCCTCGCAGTGCTGACAAGAATCTTATCAGCGTGCGGGGGCAGCAGTGAACAGTAAGCTGCGATTGAGACGCAACAACAAAGCACGAGAAAAACAAAACGACCAAAAAGATCAGCCTCGGCGATCGGATGACATCAGGCCGACCGCGGTTGACCCGCCGAGAGCCGCGAGATCAAAACCCGACGTGAGCCGTTTGGAGAGGGAACGGTGGATGTCGATCGCTTCAAGGCCATTGTCGTTCGCGGGGGTCGAGGACCTAGAAAAGTACAAAAACAAACTGGCCCTTCAGCGAAGGTTGCAGGCAATCCTTGGATGCTGGCCAACTCCGTTCAACTGAGGCTTGCACGGTTAGATGACGTGACGCCGCAGATACACAAATGTGTGTGTGCGTGCGTGCGTGTGTGTGCGCGAACGACTGTGCAGTCGTTCGCTCTCCCCTTTCCGAGAGCAGGTTAGAACAAGTTGGAGCAGGTCTGACGGCCTTGCAAAGACTCGCTCTTCTCGCAAGGAGTGTCGTGTGTGCATATGCCGCCCGTGGAATGCTCAAGGCAGGAGTGGCTGGAGATCAGCGAACCCGGGGCACATCGCGACAATCACCGGGCCGGATTTTAGAGTCGGAGACGAGGTCAAGGCGATGTCGCCCCCGGACCGGCTCCGCCCTCTCAGGTGGCAAGTTAGGAAGCGGACGGATACGGGGGCGGGATGGCGGCGGATCCAGATGCTCCACGTAGCGGTGGCATCCTGTGTGGGGGCACTCAGCCAAGCCTTCCATCTCCCCCCCCCCGGCCGCGGCCCAGTCCCACAAAGACGTTTTGGCAAGCACGCAAAACGATGTCAACAAATGCATCCAGAAACTGCGAGTGGCTCCTTTGGAGTTGAACAGGACAGGGTGGCAAAGAATTTGCCGTGAATATTTTGAGGCTGGGCAGCCTCCAAAGTTGGGGGCCAATGACGTCATTTCAATGAAAAGCGCGCAGACGTTTCCTGAGTGGAATGCAAAGACGTTTTGCGAGCCGGCACATCCGCCGTGCGATGGTTTGCTTCGTCTTTGCTGTGTTCCTCGAGTGTTTCGGCTCCAGCCGGAGCGTGGGCCGCCACCTTCCAGCGCTGCGCCTGCGCTGGATCAAGGCAATCCGCGCTGCCTACTTAAGACGCCGACCGCCTGCCCCCTTCGTCCGACTGTTGCTCTCCATCACCGCTTTGCCCGTGAGCGAAGACATTTCACCTGTGCCGTATGTTGCGCATTTGACAATCAAGTTGGATCCGATCCGATCCGATGCGCTTTGTTATGTCCCGTTCATGCTTCGAGTCGCCCTCCTCGTCCTAGTCGTTGGGGTTTGTGAGTTTTTGTTTCGTCTTGGTATCGTACTCGCTTTCGTTGTTGGTGCTCACCTCGATTTGTGTTATCATGTTCTCAAAAATCATTCTGTCCTTGGAATTGGCAAGCGCTTTGTGTTCTCGTTCCATTTCTCTGGCTCCCTGTTTTGCCAGCACCTTTTGTTGAATACTTTGCCGTTCCCTCGCTTTTCCTTCATCAACCTTTTTGTCATGGCGGCCCGCAGGACGCAGCCAGTCCTCGCCAGAAATGTTTGGAATGTCGCTCCGGGTCTCTTTGCACCGCATTTTTCTTTTCGTGCGTCCATCCGTCCGCCCGACCGAAACGAGATGAGCCTCGGCCACGCGGCGCGTACATCTCCTCGTTTTGACCGGAACACGTTGAATGAAGCGCCGGCAAATGTTTACCCTCCACGCCGTTTGAGCGGGAACCGGCTTGACAAGAAACCTTCAATAAATCTACGAGGGTAAGAGCGCGCTTCCCGCCGTTGGCGTCCATCTTGTATTTTCTGCCTGGCTGGCTGCGAAGGAGCGAGCGTTGAGCAATGCCTTTTGTTCCCGGCTCAAACGGAGGACTTTGCAGAGGCAAACAATCGCCGCCGACGACGGCGCGGGGCCGGAGTGGAGATGCTAGCTTGAGAAGACGCGCGGCGGCGACGTGCTCAGAGTCGGTCCCGCCGGATTTTAGGCTTCGCCTTTGACTTTTTTTTTCATTGAAAGAGAATATGCAGCCGCGTCGTTTTGTCCTTCAATCCTTTTCATTTGTGGGAAAAGAAAAGAAAATGGTGTGAATCCTAAAACCCTTTTCAATCTGAACGTGCCACACTTTGTAACAGGATCAAATTTGTCGCCATATCTTTCTCTTAGCGATCGAGCGCGTGACATCTGCCAACCGTGTCTGCGGCGGAACAAGTAGGAGGAGTTCCCGGGGGACACAAGCGGATGGTGCGTGCGGCCGGCCCAAACTCTGCTGGACGGAGCTGATGCGCCGCCGTGAAAAGTTGCCAAAAGTCAAAGAAGGCGAGCGTGACGCATGCGTGGACATTCTCCCCGAGGTTTGCCTTTCTCTCCCAATCCATCAATACTGCCTGAACGCTCGGAATGTGGCTCCTTACGTCACTTTGTGTGCACAGCTTACAAATGATTAACGAACGGCAAAATGTCCCAAAGACGGATGGCCCGAAACAAGGCGACATTGGCGCCAATGCTGAGCACAAATGCTCTGGGGGTTTTTTTTTGGGGGGGGGGGGGGGGGACGGCATCCCTTGAACATGGCCACGCTCGGGCCCAAAAGCCTTTCCGATGTCGCCTATGCTCCGGTGGCGTCCCTGGACGACAGGCAGCTTTTGCTGCGGTGATGCGGCAGCGAGCAACTTTCAGGCGGGCCAGTGAGTCCCTTTGGGCGTTTGCAATGACGCGCACCGCTGTGACATCAAAGCCAGTTGATTTGGGGGGAAAAATGGTGCACAAAATGAGTCAAGACGCTTTGCTGTTCAGTGCTTTTGTGTCATCTTTGAATGGGATTATATATTGATTGATTGATTGATGCAAGAAAGGAAAAAAAACAAATTCGCAGTACGTGCTTATTTGTAGTTTTCTGGATCTGTTCGCAACATTGGAGCATTTCAACTATATTAAGATCCACTTCTGTCCATGGTTGAAGTCGCCCCTCCCTGGTGCGGGTTGATGGGGCTTTCGCTGTGTCCGCAGCTTGGGTAGCCGCAGTCCGTAATCCCCGTCGCGGTCGCGGACGAGCATGAAACCGGCGCAGCGGGATTCCCAGGCTGTGACACTGGACGGATAAATGGGGGGGGGATGTTTTCTCGCTGACCGGGGCTGACCCGACGAGACGACCGCAAGCATTTGGACGTCTACGCTTCCATTGGCTTTTTTTTTTTTGCTTTTTGCAAGGGGAGCCGCCGGCCCGCCCGCCCGCCCGCATGTTGCATGCTCCGCCCGGGCATTCTTGAGGCGTCCCGAACAAAACCACAAAAGTGGAGGGGCCGATGCAACGAGGTTGCCGAGCAGCTCCGTCCCCTCGGCCGCAGAGCGCCGAGGTCACCCCCCGCGCGCCCCCCGGCCGAGCGCTTGGCAGCCAGCATGGGAACTGCCCTCCCATCGCTCTCGTCGGCCGTGCCGCTCGCTCGCTCGCTTCTCGTGTCTCTCCTCCTCCATCAGACTTTTTTGGGGGCTTGGGGGCGGGGTTACTCCAGAGCATCCCAGCGCCTCGTCATGGATGCGCCGAACATGTGGTATATATCTCGCCACCGTGTATTACTCGCGGTCCAATCGCTCCAGGTCCTCATCGCTGCGCGTCACATTCTCTTTTTTTTCTTTCTCAAAGAAAATTTGGCATCGCATCAGCTGCGCTGATGTCAAGAGGCACCAGAGGGTTTACATGTCACGAGCGGCGTCTTTTAGGCCGCGGCTTTTATGGATTGACTGTTTGCGCTCCCCTGGTCTCCAGCAGTGCCTGCCAACAGAACACCGAAAAATAGGATCAAAAACTAAAATCCAATAAAAATGCTACGTTTACATCGAACCTCTAATTGCCCCCACGCGGATAAATAACGTTTTCTGAATCTGAAACTAAAATGGTATATTTCGACATCTATGCATCTCGCCGATAATTCTCGCCATTTCACGGAGAACGATATACGCTTCAAGAGCGCTCACTACCTTTTCAATTGGATTCAGCGGCGTTTCCATTTTACGTTCTTTCGAAGAGCGTCGTGGCGCCAAACTAAATCCACGACGCAGAATCATTCCGAACCGAGCTCCTAAAAGGTCCCGCCCTCAAGACATTTGGAGGTGCTCCCTACTGGCAGAAATGCGTCGGTGCAATTGAAATGCCCCATTTGGAGGCCACGCCTCCCGCAAAGTGGTCAGACATGTTATGGACCTTGTCAAGGCGAGCTTCGGTGGCCGCGTTTGCAGCCACGCGGCGCTCCCTTCGCACACGCGTGGCGGAAACACGGGCCTGTCGGTGGAGTGCTGCCGTCGCCATGGTGACCACCCCGTGTTTTCTTGAATGAACGCTTCGCAGATCCACTTACTCATCTACTTTGAAGACACCTGTCAGAGAGGCCCTTTCTTGAGGTCAAAAAAAAGCTGAGAGCTCAACAGCTACCGCTACAAACACACGCACGCACTCAAACACAGACGCACACCCGCAGAAAGAGGTCCTTGCAGATGAGTGGAAGCGCTGTCAGCAGATAGGAAGTCGCGCGAAACACCGGCTGAATGAAAAGTATGATGAGCGAGGCCTGTCTCCATGTGGCAAACGCTGACGTCCTCTCGGTGGAACTCGGCAGGAAGCGAGCCACGGGAGCAAATCGGCCTCATTGTTTGCGAAGGGATGTTTTGAAGCTGGATGCTATCGGCGCTCGCTTCGGGGCAAGGTTCTGGGAGTTCAGGTGTGTTGCAACAGGGAGACTTGGAAAACATGCGGGACGGCGGCCCTTCGGGACCGCAGTTTGACAGCCCTGCTGCACAACTGCTGTAGTCACTCCGCATCGTACGCTATCAAGATCGATAACGCCATCAAGAAACGGTCGGTGTACCGTCGCGGCGACGCGCATCGTCTGCTCACGCGGGCCTCCAAAAGACAAGGGGCTCTTTAACCTTTCGCCATTCTGGGAGAGCCAAAATTTACGGTGAGAAAACAGCAGTGAGCAAACAAGCGAGGGGGAGCAAAAAAAAAGAGGAGCCCTCTTCATGAATACTAATTCTGGGAGCTATTAGCCAAAAGGGCTACCACATGGACAGCTGGAAAATGCCAAGGGCATTGTTTTTTGTGCTTTTCGAAAGCCCTGCAACAATCGATCGTTTCTTCCTGGCTAATATTAGCGCAATACACCGCAAAGGAGGATGAGAGGCCCGCAAGTGGCAAGATTGCTTGGAAAAGTGGGAGGGCTAGTCGGGGCCGGGAAGCGTCCATGTGTGTCCTCCTCTGGGCCAAACGCTGACATGGCCGAACGCACGCACAAAAACAAACAAACCCAAACCCACAAAAGAAAAACCACAACAACAACAAAAAACACCCACCCACACGTATTGATTGCCTTTTGACTAATCCCATCCCCGTGTCGGGATTACCTCCCTTACAAAATGGGTCAACTCACAAGGAGGGGTGATCAAGTGTGGCCTATTGCTAGCCTCGTTAGCTTAGCATCTCCAAATCGCTCCGCTTGGACTTGGAGCAGCTGATTTGGATTGAGACGCATGTTTCTTGGAAATGCGGTCAGACGGAAGCGGTTTTCGGACGGCGCGCGGCGAAGAGCCGAGAGCTTCGGCTTTTGACTCGGACCGAGACTCGCTGGCAGTTGACTGCTGGTGGGCCTTTTTACGGTCTTTCTCGTCAGGAATGGATTGCCGGGAGCCTCTTTGTCGTCGTATGACTTAGGACGTGGCGTGCGTAACTCGGCCCTCGGCCCGCCCACGGGGATTTGAGCCTGCGTTGCCGCCGCTTCTCCCCCGGAAGCGCCATTGCGTCACGGAAGCCAAGCGCCAACAAAAGGGTTAGCCTGCCAATGACTTTTATGGTCAAGGGGAGCTGGGGCGCGCCTCACGACGGTCGCCCGCCGCCTCCATCCGTGTACGCTCGCGGGCAAGAAATCTGCTCCATCTCGTCCTCGCCATTTGGGAAGGAATACTTGTGCGAATGAGCTCGGAGGCGGCGGTCAGATATTTGGAAGTCAGACATGCGACAAACATGAACCATATGCGGGCTTTGTGCGTCAATGCGCTCAGATGTCTCCTCGTTGCAGCCGTCCTTTTTGCAGGCTCATCCGAGCTCCCCGCCGAGTTGGCGGAGCCAAGTTTGCGTGGGGTGGGGCGGAGTGGCTCCACGGCGGGCTGCTTATGACAAGGGGGGAGGGGGTGGGGGACATGAAACGCCCCCCCGCCGGATCGCCGTTCACGCGGCTCGCTCGGCCCAGCTAGGTTTTGCTCTTCGATGTTTCTTCTCCGACGTGAAGCCGTTTTGACGGGGCCGCCATGAGCCAAACTGTGCTGCTGGCAAATCCGGGTCCAGGGAGGGCTTTTACTTTCTGGACCGCTGCCGCTGCTCCGAACACAACTAGCCCTGGCCCCGATTTCAAACAACACTTCGGGGAAAATCATCATTTTATATGTTAGGACCTCCCAGCACCGGTGTCGTTTCGGTGGCCCAAATTGCACGTGACAACCTGTTGATTTCATGCCATTTATTCCTGAAATTTGTACGGGTAGCCCGGTCGGGCCAGCATCGGTGAACTTCAGGTCTTCTTGGCCGGCGGGCCAGCGTAAATGTCGGAGCCGCTGTTTAAAAAGTGTGTTGACGACGTTTGAATGTGTTGAAATTGCCCCAAAAGGTCATTTATTTTCGGATGTTTGTACGTCGGCGTGGATGCATTTCTTTCATTTCTCTCACATGGTCGCTCTCCATCGCGGCTTTTCCCCTCTCACAGGTGGGTCCGGAATGATGATGCGCCGTAATCCGCTCCTGCCCCTTCGCAGGGGGTTGCCTGGACACGCCCCGAACCGGGAAGTGCCAGTGGGAAGTGGGGCTCATCGCTGGGGTAGCGCATGAAGGGCAGCGGGAATGCGGCGCAAAGTGAGCGGGGCGTACAAGTCTTCATAACGCCAATCATAATGGCTTTGCACTCCTGTCTAGACAGGGAACGGTTAAATTGGGTGCGCGAGGGTGTTTTTGGGGGGCGCGGCGGCGAGTAAAGTGAGCATTCTATTGAGGTCTTAGTTTAGCTAATCTCTCCCATGTGACAGCGCAGCCAGATTTGCTGCCATGGAATGCCGCAGGCTGTTGTGCTGGCGGACAAAAAGAGACAGAGGCTTAAGCTGCGGGGGGTGCGGGGGCAACACTCGGCCGTCCTGGAGAGCAGCGCAGTTACGCCCCAAAAAGATGCAGAGGAAGGTGGGGGGGGGGGTCGGGGCGTTCTCAGGGCTGTCATGCTCTCATGCCCTCCTGCTCCTCACGCTCTATCACCTGTAGCGTCGGATACGGCGCACTGATGTTGGGATGGTGCGACAAGCCACGAAAGTGAAACCTCGCCACTTTTGTTGTCTTCATATCGATGTCTTATACTACAGAGAATAAATGGCTCTTTTCTTATTGGGCTCTGGGGCCCAAAATGAGGTGCCACAAGTTCTGCATCGCAACAGCGCCTTGTAGTTAGTTGTGTACGGTGGCCTGGGAGGGCCAAAACATTCACGTGGACTACTTTCTTTCCAAGCTGAATTTGCGGTTAGTTGATTCAATGTCATCATAGCAGCGATTCCGTGACCTCATTTTCATATTTTGAGGGGTGGGGGGTGGCTTTGGCCTAGAAATTCTGCCTCGCAACATTGCCGTGTTTAGCCCTTTTTTTTGTTTGCTTGTTATTTTCCAAGGTTCAAAATGGTGAAGCGCCATAAGCAAGCTATGGTGGCGCAAAACGTCTTCGTGTTCGCCAAAAAGACAACGAGCCCAGGAGTTGTGGAACCGGATCTACCAGCTGGAGTCTGAAAAATTCGACTACATGGAGCATATAAAACACCAGAAATACGAGGTGAGCGGATCACACAGTAGATTTGAAATGGATTTCAAGGACCTCAACGATCGCCCGTCATGTCACAGAAAAAAAGTTTAAAAGGGCACGCAAAAGCTTTTTTTTTTTAAACTGTTCCCAAGTGTCTTAAAAATATGTTTGACATTCTTTGGCCCATGTAACAAAAGATGCTCTCCAAACTACGGCTAATTGCAGGGCACACATAGACAAACAATCACTTGTGCACACAATCACACTTAGGGACAATTTAGAGTACCCAATCAACCTGCCATGCATGTTTTTGGAATGTGGGAGGAAACTGGCCTACCCGAAGAAAACCCACAGAGGCGCGAGGAGAACATGCAAAGGCCGGAGCTGGAATCAAACCCTGCTTTTTTTTCTTTCTGTACTAGAATATTATCACTTTGCATGAGTTCTGATTCTGACCTTGTTTTTATTTGCTCCGCCATGTGCAGATTATCGTGCTGCTCAACAGAATCCAACACGCTCAGAAATTGTGAGTGCTGACTGACTTTGTTTTGACACAATGGAGTTATGTCTGGGCATTTTTCCGATCTCTTTCTAATGCAAACTTTCCTGTGTGTGTGTTGCAGTAAAAAGGGACACGGTAAAGGGAAGGTGGGTGGCCGCTGGAAGTAGGAGTGAAGAACCGTCAATCCAAACCAAACTTTTCCCCATCGTGGTAAGAAGAAGTGCAAGAGCAGGAATCTTCAATCTGTACGAGCGTTGTGGCTTCTCTGTGCGTGAGAAAGATTGTTTTTGGGGGGGGGGGGATTTTTTTTCACAATGTTATTGTAATAAAACATGCTCTCTGTGAGTTGTATTTATTGATTGATTGATTCATTTATTTATTTCCTCGGCAAAGGAGGTTTTGTTGTGAAGTCAATTAATATAGCAGCAATTAACAGCAAAAGGCACTTTACATGATTCGGTAATGAGCATGCCCGGCTTGGCGCAGAGTGCTTCCAATTTGGCCAGTCCGTGCACAGAAATCAGGAGCCGCCGGGATTTGCGTCCCGCCGCCGCCGCTGCGCCGTCCACCAAATAAGAGCCCTCAGTATCCATGTGCAGGTTCGGTGTTGGGAGTTTGAGGGTTAGTGTTGGCGGGGAGAGAGGTAGGATTGGGTTTAGTGTTGGAGGGTTGGGGTTAGTGTCGGAATAGAGGTTAAGGGCTAGGGGTTAGAGTTTCAAGGGTTAGAGGGTTACGGTTTGGGTTCGAGGGTTATGGTTAGGAGTAGCGTTAGGGCTTTCGGGTTAGAGGGTTCGGGTAAGAGTGTTGGGGTTTGGAATTAGGGTTGAAGGGTTCGGGTTCGAGGGTTAGGGTGACAGTGTTGGGGTATGAAGGTTAGGGTTCGGGCGTTGAACCAGCCAAAGAGCCGCGTGCGGCTTGCGAGCCGCAAGTTGGCCACCATTGCACTAACCCCTCGACTACCAGGTAGGTCGTGAACACCCAACGTTGTCCAAAAATGAGACCTTTTTTTTCCAAATATGAGACCATGAATGGTCAGGCTTTTTTTGGCGGTAAAGTATTTTCGAAGTGTAGGAAGGCGTTTTTAGCCAAAAAAAAAACGACCATGTACAGAAAGGCGTTTTAACACGAAAAAAAAAAAACGACCATGTACCGTAAGGCGTGTTTGGCCAAAAAAACGACCATGTATAGTAAAGCCTTTTTAGCTGAAAAAAAAAAAGACAATCTACAGAAAGGCTTTTTTAGCCGAAAAAAACGACCATGGATAGTAAGGCATTTTTCGCGAAAAAAACGACCATGTATAGTAAGGCGTTTTGAGCCGAAAAAAAATGACCATGTATAGTCAGGCGTTTTTAGCCGAAAAAAACGGCATAGTATAGTAAAGCGTTTTTAGCACGAAAAAAACGGCATAGTATAGTAAGGCGTTTTT